CGGGGCCGGGGGTGCCGGCGCCCCGTTGCTCTCGTCCTCGGCGGCCCCCCTGCGCTCGGGCTGGCCGTCCATCTCCCGGAAGGAGCTGCTGCGTTTGGGGGGGGCTGGAGCTGTCTTCTTCTTCTTCTTGATCAGGGCGCTGAACAAGTTGGTCTTTTTGTCTTTGGGGAGAAGGCGCTCGTCTTCGTTCAGACTGCCGTCCTGGGGACCCCGCTCCTTCCGAGGGAGCAGCGGAGACACCGCCGGCTCGTGGTCCACAGCATCTGAAACACGGCGGGAAGAGCTGAGCGGTGCGGGGCTCCGAGGGAGGGCCCCGGGGTGGCAGAGGAGGCAGGGGCTGGGCACACAGGCCTGACCACCGCTCACCACTCACCAGGCCTGGGCACTCACTTTGCTCTCAGCCTTCTCAGCTATAAGGTGGGACGGGGCCTCTGGTGGCCTGGGGCTTAAGCTCAGCACTGTCACCCCAGGGCCCCTCTTCCTGCCACAGACGGGCGACTGGAAATCGCCACCCGCGGGCAGAGGAGGGGTCGGCGCTCTCCCGCCCGCCCGCCCCAGCGTCCCCAGCGGGCCGAGAAGCAGCCCAGGGCGGTGGGGAAGGTCTGGGTCGGGTCCCGTGCGGGCTCCTGGAGCCCTGCGGAACCCGCCTCAGCACGGGCTGTGACAAGGCGGAGTGAGCGGGGCGGAGCGGTCAGCTTTGTCTAGTCCACGCGTCGGTGAAGGACACCGGCCTCAGGCCTACGCACTGCCGTGGCTGAGTGGCCCAGCACCCCGCTGGGCCCTGTCCTCTCCCACCGACACAGGGCCGGGCACCAAGCCCGGCGCCCGGCCCCGCTCTTGGCCTTGGCCCGGCGGGTCTGCAGCAGATGCGATTCCCCTGAGAGGACATGAGAGCCCGCCCCGATGATGCGGGGAGTCCCCAGAAGACGCTTCTTGGCGGCCACGAGGGGAGCCCTGTGCTGGTGTCCCCTGAGCCTCGGCCCAGTGTTGGCCGGTTAGTGGCTGCGCGGCTGTGGGACGGTGCGCGGAGGCGGTGCATTCTGGCCGCGCCCTCAGCCCCGCTGTCCGGGGCCCGCCCGGCCCCACGTGGCTCCGTCCACCCGCTTGCCCACGGGGTCACCCTCGCTGGGCCGCCGCTGGGCCGGGCTGGGGCCGGGAGGGACATACCGGGGTCTCCCGGGCCCTTGGCCTGGGGCGTCTCGGGCGCGTCGGCGGCGTCCCTGTGCTCGGCCGCTCTCCTGGAGGTCCTGGTCTTGGTGGGCAGCTCCGGGGCCTGCAGCAAGGCGCCCGCCGCCCCGCGCGCGCCCTTCTTCCCCAGCTCCTTCTCCACCTCTGGGCGCCACCAAAGAGAGGAAAACGAAAGCAGCGGCCGTCAGAGCCGGAGTCACCTTCCGGGCCGACCTCTGTCCCCGTCAGAGGCGGCAGGACCCAGCGCTGAGGGACGGGGCCCGGCTTCCTCACAGGCTCTGGCCGACGAGGGAGGCCAGCATTGGCACCCCGCGCCGCTCCTGGGCACCCGTGGCCGGGAAGGGGACCCCAGCGCGGGCGTCCCGCACACGGCCTTACCGTCGGAGATGCTGGACTCCTGGAACATGGTCTCAAAGGCCTGGTGGATCTCTGCAAAGGAGGGCCGGTCCGAGGGGTTCCACTGCCAGCCTGCGGGGAGACCCACGTCAGACCACCCGGGAGGCCACGCAACAAAAGCAGCATTCCAGCCCTGCCAACCGTCTCTCGCCCTGACCAGTTACAGCAACAGACGCCAGCGCGTCTCTCCCGGACGGACGCTGAGGAGCGAGAAGACCTCAGGCGCGGCCGGAAGCCGGCTGCGGCCCAGAGGCCGATGGCCAGGGCTGCACCTCGCGGGGCGGGGATGGGCGAGCAGCCAGCCTGGGGGTTACTGAAGTGCGGCACAGGGTGAGAATGACGGCGGAGGGGGCACCTGGGGGCTGGCGGAGGCCGAGGGGAGCTGGTGGTGGAGACGCTGAGGCGCCCACACCTGAGGGGAGACGTCCCAACGGTGAGAAAACAAACAAGGACACGGGAGACTTCAAGCCACAAACAAGACCCCAGCCGAGGCCTGGGCGGGGTGGCCAGGGCGGGGCGGCCAGGGCGGGGCGGCCAGGGCGGGGTGGCCAGGGCGGCTTGCAGGCACTCCCGCAGGCAGCAGAAATTCACACAGCCTGTTGTGGAAAACAGCTCGACGAGTCCCACTGATATCTACAATGCCCAGAGCCCTCGGAACCAGCGCTCAGATTCTAGAAGCACCGGGTGACCGCGAGGCGCCAGGCTGGGGCGCTCACGGCTGGCTGCTCGCCATGCGTGAAATGACCCCCCCAGGGGACTGGGTCGCGCACAGGGGAAGAGGCGCGAAGGCGAGGCCTGACCCAGACGCGCACACAGCGGGGTGCAGCAGAAGCTGATGAGGCGTTATTCACACTCACACATTCTGGGGGGGCCTCCCCTTCTCAGAAGGCAGCATAAGGCCCTGGCACTAGCCCCGGGGGGCCTCCGCGGGGTGTCTGCAAGGAATCCTGTCAAGGGCCTCCGGTGGGACTCACCAGGCCATTTCGTATTTCGTATTAAAAGCCAACGAGAGCCCCAAACCGCAAACAGGCGGCCGCTGGGAGAAGGCAGCGCCCCCGGGGCCCGCGGGGCACTCACAGGCGCGCATGAGCTCGTAGACCTTCTCGGGGCAGCCCTCCGGGCGCTCCATGCGATAGTCCTTCTCCAGCAGCTCATACACCTGGGACAGGTCAATTCCAGGGTAAGGCGACATGCCGTAGGTGGCAATCTCCCAAAGCAACACTCCAAACGCTGAGAGGGAGGGAGAGAGGGAGGGTGAGTCAGGGCCACGGGGCGCCGCGGCAGCAGGCGGCGCTGACCCGCTCCCGCTCCGAGTCGCCAGCGGCCGCGCGGGCAGGGACGGCGCCGCACGCCCTCCGCCAGGCCGAAGCTCACTGGCCAGTGACCACCTGCCCGGCGACGAGGAAAAGGAGCCTGGAACTGGAGGCCAGAGACGTGGCTCTGCCCACTCGCCCCAGGCCTCGGGCAGGCCCTCGCTCCTTTCCGGGCGGGCGGGATGGTGTCCAGGTCCTTCCAACTCAAATGTCACTGGAATCTGACGGAATTTCTTTGAAATTCCAGCTCCCGCTGAAGGCCTCTTCCCTTGAAGCAGGTGACCCGGGCCGCGGCGGGCAGTGAACAGGACTGCCCGGCTCCGGCAGCGTGGAGACCACAGGCCTCACGGACGGGCAGGAAACTGCGGGGCAGAGGTGCCGGCCCCTCACGGGGGCCAGCGGGGGTCAGGACACCAGCCCACCCGGAAGGCAGGCTGACCCTGTTTGCTCCGAGTAACCGGAGTTCTCCTGCCTCGAAGAGCAGTGAGGGTGCGAGCCGCCCCCGGCCGCCCTGACAGACCAGCTGGTGCAGGCGGGCAGCCCACGGAAGCCGCCGGCGGGGAGCACAAGATCCACGCGCCTGCCGAGGAGCGGCACCACCGGCCAGGCAGTTCGCTCATTGCAGCGGCCGAGCCAGGGGGCGGCCAGGCTGTGCAGATGCCCCGCCCTGCCCCGGAACATGGTGGGGGCAGAGCGCGGCAAGTCCGGGAGGCGGACACTCGCAAGGGCACATGCAGATTCCGCAAATAAACAGCAAGGGAGTCGCACGACGGACGGAGTCAGGAAAACGCCATCAGGAGAGACGCGAGCCCACGGAGCTGTGGGACTCGATCCCAACAGGTCGGCCCCGTGGGGTCTGCCGGCCGGTGTCCGGGGCCAGGCGGAGGGGCCCTGGGCCAAGGGCAGACCCGGTCGCTCAGACAAAATCCTGTCCGTGGGAGACGCCCAGAAACGGACAAGGTGACACGCTTCTTGGACAAAACACTGAGACTCGGGTTTGTTTCAAAATAACGAGGCGGCGGTGCCCCGGGGAGGTGGCTGTGGGGCTGGAGATGGGACGGCTCCAGGCCTCAGCTCTGTCTCCTCCGGTCACGCTGAAAGTTGGCCAGGAAAAAAAGTCCGACAGGAAAGGTAAAAATGAAAGCGCGCCCACGCGCCACATGGGCGGGGCGCTCCGGGGGCGGGGTGCTCGGCTTCCTCTCAGTGGGGGTGGAGGGCTTTGCAAGAAAAGCGCTTTCCTTCCCTCTGGAGAGAAGCCAGGAGAGAGGTCTGCAGGAAAGCCAGGCGGGCGACGAGGGACAGCGAGAGGCGGGCGGCGCTTACCCCAGACGTCGGACTTGATGGAGAACTTGTTGTAGGCCAGGCTCTCGGGCGCCGTCCACTTGATGGGGAACTTGGCCCCGGCGTGGGCGGTGTACGTGTCCCCCGTCATGAGCCTGCTCAGGCCGAAGTCGGCCACCTTCACCAAGTGGTTCTCCCCCACCAGGCAGTTGCGGGCGGCTAGATCTCTGCGGAGGCAAAGTGGCCGTGAGCGGCCGGCCAGCGCCCAGCTTCCCGACCCCCGGCTGTGCAGCTGGAGGCCACCGGGGAAACCGAGTCTGGCCCTAGAGAGTCGCTCGGCCCACTGGGCACCGACGCGGCCCTCCGCGCAGGGAGAAGCAGCAGGGCCGGGCGCCGGCTCCCCGGGGTACCCCGCTCACCTCGGGGCGCGGGCGGCTCATCCGCAAGCCGAAGGGGACCGCGCCTGCCTCTCGGGCTGGGCAGCGCCGTGAGTGTGGAAGTGGGGGACAGGAAGTGTCACCTGGCCACACCACGTGTGGGCCAGGGACAAGCGCGGGCCAGCCCTCGGGGGCGAGAAGCCGGCAGCCTGAGTTCCCAAGGGCCCGTCAGGACGTCAGGGGACAAGTGGGAAGAAAGCCCGCAGCACCCTGCCCCGCCCGCGTTTCCGCTCCCGCCGCCCTCTCGCGCTTATCCAGGTGCGCCCGAGACCACCCCTCCGTTCCGCGGACCTCAACCATGCAATCACAGTGCGCACTGGAAGGGAGGCGGGGGCGCAGCCCAAGGAGAGGGCTGCCGGAGCTGGAGCACGCGGAGACCAGAGCAGGGACTTCGGCGAGGCGTGAGGGGCGACAGAGCTGGCCGCGCCAGGAGAGCCAGAAGTCGGGACCCCAGTGTGCGGCCTCACAGGCTCGCTGTCCCGAGACAGGCGCCCAGGCTCCGTCCCCGGCCCGACGCGACACGCGCGGCCGCCCCCGCGCTGCCCCGGCGGCTAATGGGCAGGAAAGGTCAGCAGGCCGGCGGGGAACGGCGTGGCGAGAGGCCCCGCCCGCACGGGCCGGCCGGCGCTAGGAAGCCACTTCCGCCAGCCGAGAATGCGAAGGCCAGGGTAATTGCGCCACACTTGAAGGTCAGAGCACTCCAGGCTTTCAAACCAGCGGACACGCTTAATTTTAGACGACACGACCACAATTCTGACCATTGTGGCGATGCCCCGGAGCCCGATGAGAGCAAGGGAAGCAGAGAATGAAATGATAATGAGAGGGAAAACACAGCACAGAAACAAAACCCAGGCCCTCGCTGCTGCCCGGCTGGGGGGGCGACCGGCCCAGACATGGCCCGGCCCTCGCTGCTGCCAGGCTTGGTGGGGGTTGGGGGGGCCACTGGCCCAGACACGGCCCTCGCTGCTGCCCGGCTGGGGGGGGGCAACTGGCTCAGACACGGCCCTTGCTGCTGCCCAGCTAGGGAGAAGGGGGCCCCCCAGCCCGGACACGGCCCTCGCTGCTGCCCAGCTGGAGGAGGGGGCAACTGGCCCAGACACAGCCCTCGC